CACAGTTACATTACTCCGACTCCCGCTGTCCATCATGCGGCTGCACAGAGCTTTGCTGAGTGTACAGATTTTACTCTTTTCTCTGGTACAGCTTTGCCAGGCTGAGAACGGTACGTACTGCTGTGTGATTTATTCTGTCAAAACATTTGGGAGACTTCTTTCTTCCGACAAATGTTGAATGGGAGCCGACATCTGCCCCTCTCCCAGTGGGGTGGGGGTGGAGATAGAGAGAGAGTCTGCCTGAAGCAAATGCTCTGTGCTCCTGTGGGTTGTCAGGGCGAAAATCTTGACCGTAGGAAGCTCTCTGGGATGCTGCCCTGTGTGAGGAGCACGATATCAAAGCGAGTTGCTGTTGTTGTAGGAAACGGAAGAGTGTAGAGCCTTTCGGAGAACAACAACAACAACATAATACGTTTGTGTAGCACCTGGAGGACGCCTCCAAGGCGCAAACAATCTGCCTGGTCAGCACAGTACCTTATCCTTGTTCCTGATTTACCGTCTCAACAATGCAGCGCTCCCCAAGAACTGCGCTACGCTGGGCTTTCAGATCAAAGGCACCCAGGATGCTTTCTATCGTTGTCCTGCAGTGTAACTCACGGGACCTGAGGCTCTGGGTGAACCCCAACTCAGTCCTTCACCATTCCAAGGCTGAACTGAACGAGGACCGTGTCGCACCAAACCCCCAGCTCACGCCCCACTTTCGGCGCCCCCCGCCTCCCCATCCGCCCTCCTCCCTAGGGTCTAGCCATCCGTGGTGAGGAAGCAAACAGACGGTTCAATTCCCCCAGGGAGCGGTGAGACACGGGAACAAAAGTTAAACTAGTCTTTTGGGACACTGCTGTGCGCAATTGGCTGCCACGTTTTGCCCACAAAATATACAGTCAATTCACTTTACAGTCTATTCTGTGAAGCGCTTTGAGACCTCTCGAAGATGTGACAAGGCGCTGCATCAAATGCAACGATTATAAGGATTATTATTATTAGGAGGTAGGAACTTAACTCTAGCACTCGCTCTGGATGATCCATCGCCCCTTCATTGTAACACAATCTGCCGCCCACTTTTCCAGTCTTCCTTGATGCCAAAGATGCCCTCTCTGTCCTGAAGAGGCACAGGCGTGCGAACAGCTTCTTCGAGGAGGCGAAGAAAGGGGACCTGGAGCGAGAGTGCATCGAAGAGGTGTGCAACCACGAAGAGGCCCACGAGGTGTTCGAGGACGATGTCGAAACTGTAAGCGTCAAGACTGCGATCCTCTCGGTTTCCCGGCGTACAGTGCCCTCGCCTCAGCTCACCGCATAATCCCCTCACCAAACCATGACAAGCAATCTGAGTGGGGGGGTGGGGGGAGAGAGGGGGGTTTTAGGCAGTCAGTTCCCATATGGGGGTGAAATATGGGGGTTGGATTTCACTCCCATCGTAACTTAGTCCAGTTACCAACAACAACAACTCGCATTTACACAGCGCCCCTCTCGCAGGAGAGCGTCACAGAGCGTTTGTCAGTATCGGAGCACAATGCTGAGTCGGGGGGAGGGGGAGGTGAACCTAGGCACTATTGAAGAGGAAGGTCTTCAGGTCGTGCCTGAAGATGGGGAAGGAAAGGGCAAGATAGAGGAAGGGTATACCAAAATACTCTTAATTACAGAGCCTGGTCACTCAACAAGAACAGCCACAGAATGACCATAAACCAGCCCCTTAGACAACTAGGAAACAGTGGCCCAAAGTCAATCCCATCACCCTCTGACCTCGGAGTGACAGACACACGCCTTTCAGCCAAGATCCATTTAAATCTCAGATCGTCTCTAACCTTCACTTTACAAAAACACATTGAAAGTGTGAGACGTAAGGAGAGAAATGGATCTGAAAGGTCTGCCATGATCCAATACACAAGCGGAACAGGCTCAAGGGCTGAATGGCCTCCTCCTGTTCCGACGAAACAAGCATATGTTTTAGACAAAATCCACGACCCAGGTTTAGCAAGTTAAACTCCAACTGTTGCCCTAACACACACTCCGAGCTCCCTGAGACTTGGCTCTCACCAGCCTGTGCGTTACGCTCCCCGGGTTTAGTAAAGGGGAGCATCTCGGTTGTGATGAGGGTAAATATTCTGACGAAGGTCTATCAGTAACTGAAACCACATCACTCCGCCCAGTTGGAAATCTGCTCCAGTGGATCCCATCGGAGCGGTTTTCCTGTCGGAGTGGAGCTGTGTGGCTCAGTCTCCTTTTTTAAAAGAAATAGAGGCAGGGCGACTGAGAGATGTTAGTCTCAGATGTGGTTCAGTGTGGGTGGGTAATATCTATCTGTCCTCTCCCCTGCAGGAAACGTTTTGGAAACAATATAAAGGTAAGAGTTTTTCAGTTCATTCTGTTGTCAAACCACCTTTTGGCTCTGTCTGTCACTCTCTGGTCTCATTTGGAAAATTATTATTACCCGTCAGGGATCTGATTTACAGGGTTCACAGGAGCTGAGGGCACTTTGGGGAGATTGCGCATTCCATCCCTGACATGGGAATTCCCATGTGCAAGTGGGATGCATGGAACTCTCAGCCTGGTTAAGCACGATGATGAGTTTTCATGTGTGCCAGACACAAAGCGACGACAAAGAAACATACCCCACCAATCCCCCCACACACCCCCCCACACCCTCCCCCAGCGCTGTAAAGCGTCAGTTTAGACAGCAACAACAAATTACATTTACGCATCACATCAGGAGGACGTCCCAAGGCACTGGACAGTCAGGGATCCGCACCCGACCTGGTGGTTGGGATCAGGAGGGGTGGGGGACAGGGAGGGTAGGGGTAGGATTATATAATAATAATAACAGGTAGACTATGTGATTCCATGTCCAGTCGTGGGGCTTGAACCCGCAACCTTCTGACTCGGAGGCGAGAGCGCTACCACTGTGGAGTCCTGCAGCTCAGTGGTTAGAGCATTCGCTTTGCAAGTGAGAGACCTGAGTTCAATCCCAGGCAGAGGGCGAAACCTTGGGCAAGTTTCCTTACTCCACACAGAGCCTAATAATAATCCCTCCAAAACCAAAAACAATAATAAATTGGTCATTTTCAATCTACGACTGTTTGTGGGACATTGCTGTGCGCAATTGGCTGCCGCGTTCGCCCACAAATATACAGTCAATTCACTTTAGAGTGTGTCTGTGAAGCGCTTTGGGACGTCCTTCCGACGTGAAAAGCGATATATCAAATGCAAGGATTATTATTATTATTATTACTGACACCTCGAGGCTGACACCTCATGAATCATGACCCAAACTCAAACTGACTGGACAATTGCTACACTCACATCTTATTCCACTTCACTGCACAATTCACTGGGGCGGACGATCACTGACTGGCTCTCGACACTGATCTGGGGCTGCGCTATGTGCTATGTGTTATGTGCACGTTCAGACAGGATTTAAACCCAAGTTTCTTAAATCTTGTACATTTTATTTTCAGTTTGCATACTTCCGGTGAAACCGATTGAGCGAGAGGAACTGCTAGGCTGTCTGAACGGTAAGTATTGTGAGCATTTACTCAGCCTTCAGTTGCCCGTCTTATCTTCTCTTGATACTCACAGAGTCAATCTCACGCTTCCCACTTAATGATAATAATCCTTGCTTTATTATAGTGCCTTATTGAAGTCATTGAGACGTCTCAAAGAGCTTTACAAAATATACTGTAAAGGGTAGTGACTGTATATATTTTGTGGGCGAAAAGTGGCAGCCAATTGTGCATAGCAGTGTCCCAACGGATTGAGTTACCAATTCTTTTAAAAAGTAATTCCACAATAGACTAACAACTAGGCTCCTATATACTGCGAGTTAAACAGAGGTGTGTGGAGTAAGGAAACTTGCCTAAAGTTTCGCCCCACCTGGGAATCGAACCCGGGTCCTCTTACTTGCGAAGCGAGTGCTCTAACTACTACACTATGGGACTGCACTTATTACCAACTGTATTAACCTTCCTCTCTTGATCTCAGGGGTTTCTGTTTTAGTCATAAAATTGAAGGCGCAGGAACAGAGGAGTAGACTTTGAGTTGTTTCATGGTATCACCAAAGCTGTTTATCTCTTTCTAAGGTGTATGTTACACAGGAAATGGAGCTGGTTATGAGGGCACCATCTCGTTAACAAAATCTGGGCGAGAGTGTCAGAGATGGTCCAGAAATTACCCACACAGGATCAAGTGAGTAGCTGAGGGGAGGAGGTTCTGGTCAGATAGATTTTAAATGTCCCGCAATATCACTATTGGAAGAGAGAAAGGGGGTTTCTCCCCCAATGTCCTGGCTTGGGATTTATCAGTCATTCCTGGGGGGAGGGGAAGACAATGGGGGACATTGAAATGATGGTGGGAGGGTGGAAAGTTACCATACAGTGAGTTCCCATCTCTCCTGTGTGAATTAAACATAAGAGCAGAAGGTTTTGCTCGGAAAAAGAAGTCCAAGTTCCATCCAGTTCATCTTCCACCATCCTGGCATTCGCTTGACATGTCATGACACAATTATATAATGAATTCCATAAGAACATTGCCAGTGAGTGAAGGGAGGTGGGCAGACATGAAGTCCCACCTCCAAACGCAACTCGCAGGATAGTAATAATATATTAATCCTTGCATTTGATATAGTGCCTTATCAAGTCTTCGAGACGTCTCACAGAATATACTGTAAAGTGAATTGACTGATATTTTGTGGGCGAAATAAGGCAGCCAATTATGTACAGCAGCGTCCCACAAACAGACTTGGATTGAGTGACCCAATTATATTTTTTTGAAGGGATTATTAACCCCAGAAAAGTGATCCACCAATTGACTAACAATCGGGTTCCTACTTACTGCTAGGAAAACAGAGGCTTGTGAAGCAAGGAAACTTGCCCAACATTTCGTCCTGCCCGGGAATCGAACCTGGTTCCTCTCGTTTGCGAGGCGTGTATTCTAACCACTGAGCTACAGGACTACACGTATCTTGATATTGTGTCCCAATAATGGTCTGAAATAATCTTTTTCTCAATGATCAGATACAGTTCGGTGACCCATCCAGAAGCTAATCTTTTGGAAAACTACTGCCGAAATCCTAACGATAGCATCTATGGTCCATGGTGTTATACCAAAGACCCAACAGTCCAATCAGAGGAGTGTTATATCTCAAAGTGTGGTGCGTACGTTAACCTTCTCTCTGTTCTCTACTTTCATTCTCCTTCCATCCGTGCAAATTGCATTCCTCTTGCCTGCACATATATACCCAACAGTTTTCCTGACCTTTTTTCTTGTATATTAATAATAATAATCCTTGCATTTGAAATAACGCCTTATCACGTCTTCGAGATGTCTCAAAGCGCTTCCCAGGATACACTGTAAAGTGAATTGACTGTATATATTTTGTGGATGAAATGCAGCAGCCAATTGTGCACAGCAGCGTCCAACAAACAATTATTATTTTCTTTTGAAGGGATTATTACCCCCGAAAAAGCAATCCGCCAATCAACTAACAACCGGGTTCCTACTTACTGTTGGGTAAACAGAGAGGTATGGAGTAAGGAAACTTACCTAAGGTTTTGTCCTGCCCGGGAAGCGAACCTGGGTCCTCTCGCTTGCATGGCGAGTGCTCTAACCACTGAGCTTCAGGACTCCACTCCATATTGCGGATATGTTAAGCAGTTGCATTCTCTGCTTCACAGATTTACTTAGTGTCTGTATTTTCTCTGCTGCTTTAGGTGAGACTTTACCACCGCTGCCCACAATGCTGCCCTCACCCACGCTGAATCCATCCAGTGAACCCTGTGAGCAAAACTCAGGATTGTTCTACGGAGGGACGCTGAACAGGACCAGGTCGGGGAGGACCTGCCAGGCTTGGGGGTCACAGCACCCTCACAAGCACAATTATACCCATCTCAGATCAGAGGACAATTACTGCAGGAACCCAGACCTGGATGAGGAGGGAGTTTGGTGTTTCACTACTGACCCAGATGTGGAAATGGAATACTGTTCCCTCTCCTACTGCGGTATGTTATCAGCCAGTTTTGCTTCAACGGGGACAGATTTCCTGAGAAACTATTTCCATCACTAGCTGAGTCGATAACTAGGGGGCATATATATATAAAGGGGAGTGGAAATCTGGAACTCTGTCTCTCCCCTAGAAAGCTGCAGATTATGGTTGGATCCATTCAACTTCTCAAGACTGAGGCGGTTAGATTTTTGTTAGGTCAGGGTGTACAACACCACCAACAACAATAAAATTACATTTGTAAAGCGCTGTTCACGTAGGGAGGACGTCCCAAGGTGCTGGGCAGACAGAGTTACAGACCCGAGCTGAGGGTCGAAGTGGGGGAGGGGAGAGGGCAGGGAAAGCACGATCGAAGAGGAGGGTCTGAGGTGGGTCTTGAAGGTGGCGAGGGAGGGGGGACTAATAGAAAGGTGGGACAGGCTCGAGGGGCTGAATGGCCTCTTTTTTTGATGATCAGATACATTGACCTGATCTCTTTATGAAGTGTGGGGTCACTGAACCATCATTATTATAATAATCCTTGCATTTCATACGTCGCCTTCTCACGTCTTCGAGACGTCTCAAAGAGCTTCACAGGATATACTGTAAAGTGAATTGACTATTTTGTGGGCGAAATGCGGCAGCCAATTGCGCACAGCAACGTCCCACAAAACAGTCGTGGATTGAGTGACCAACTTATTATTTTCTTTTGAAGGGATTGTTATCCCCGGAAAGGCGATCTGCCAATTGACTTACTGCCAATAGCAGTAAGGGTTCCTACCTACTGCTAGGTAAACAAAGGCATCATTCACATCTTCCCCGCAGTTACAGGAGAATTCATCTTTATTGTGTGAACCAAATAACACTACAGCATATACTGGGCTGTCCTGTAGACAACAACTTGTAGCAATTAGGAAAATGTCTGGACTGGGATGTTGTTTTTGTGCCCAGCCAGGTGTCTGACATGTGCGGAAACCCATCACCATTGCTTAAGAGTCTCCAAACCAAGCTGAGAATTCCATGCCTCCTACCTACACATGGAAATCCCAGTGATAGATTGTTGTCTCTCTCTCTCCCTGGAGGAATGCATCCTGTTTACCTAATTCCGGAGAGTATTAGGCGCAGGTTGGCAAGAGCCAAGGCTTGGGGACCTCAGATTGTGCGTTGGGGTAACTGCTGCGGTCTAACCAGCTAAAACCACATAGCTTGCCATTGATATCATTGTCTGGCAAGCTTTCCCACTGTTTCTCCACCTTCCTTCGATACGGTCGACCACGCTATCCTCCTCCACCGCTTGTCCTCCCACCTAAACCTTCAAGGCCCTGTCCTTGAGTGGTTTAGGTCGTACCTCTCCCACCGTCTTCACTTTGTCTCCACAAATGGTTTTTCCTCCGGCCCCCGCACTGTCTCGTGCGGTGTCCCTCAGGGCTCTGTCCTCGGTCCCCTCCTCTTCACCCTCTATATGCTCCCCCTTGGTGACATCATCCGCAGACATGGAGTTCACTTCCACATGTATGCGGATGATACCCAACTCTACCTTTCCTCCTCTACCCTCAACTCCACGACCACCGATGTCCTGACAGCTGTCTGTCCGACATCGAGTCCTGGACGAGAGATAACTTTCTCCAGCTCAACGTGCGCAAAACTGAGGCCCTCCTGATTGGCTCGCGTTAGCGCCTCCGCACCTCAGGCGCTGACAGCATCAGCTCCAAGGCTGCACTCTCCACCTCTCAAAGCCAGTCAGGAACCTCGGGGTTCTGTTCAACCCTGAGCTGTCCTTTCTCCCCCATATCCGCGCCACAACTGGCACCGCCTTCCATCACCTCCGGAATATCGCCAGACTACGGCACTACCTCACCCCTCACGCGGCTGAAACTCTGGTCCTCACCTTTATCACCTCAAGGCTGGACTATGGGAACTCTCTCCTCGCCGGCCTTCCCGCCACCTCCCTCCACAAGATGCAGGTCATTCAGAACTCTGCAGCTCGTGTACTGTCCGGCACCAGGCTTCAGGACCACATCACTCCCACCCTCGCTCGCCTCCACTGGCTCCCCATCCCCCAGAGGATCGAATTCAAGATCCTCACCCTCACCTACAAGGCCATTCACGGCCTCACTCCCTCCTACCTCTCCGACCTACTATCCCCCTACCTACCCGCCCGTACCCTCCGTTCCTCCGGCTCCGGTCTGCTCCACGTCCCCCGCCCCAACCGCCCTACTATCGGTGGCCTTCAGCCTCTCAGCCCCGAGGCTCTGGAACTCCATCCCCCAGTGCCTTCGCCGCTTCCTCCCTTTCCTCCTTCAAGGCCGGTCTCAAGACCTTTCTCTTTGACTGTGCCTTCAGCTCCCCTCTCGACTCTCTACCCCCTCCTCGCTCCCTCCCTTCCCTCCCCTCACCCTGACCATTTCCCCCCAATGCTCGGGTCCTGACCCAACTGTACAGCGCCTTGGGACGTCCTCCCGACGTGAAAGGCGCTCGATAAATGGAATCTTGTTGTTGTTGTTGTTGTTGTTCCTGTTAGGGCTTGCAGGGTTAACAGGAGCTGAATGGGATGAATGGGATAGTTGGATCACCAGGCATGGAGGGAAAGGGGATGATACAAACGAGGAGAGAGGCAATGGATGGGAGACTTGGAGTAGAGAGAGTAGACTTACAACAACAACAGCAGCAAATTACAATTGTAGAGCACCCTTCATGTCCCTACAGTGCTGGAAGTTGACTTGAGTTGACTTGTGGGGACAGGGAGAGCTGGCAAGAATGGGGGGTTGCGGATGTTTACAAAAACAACAACTTGCATCTATGTAGCGCCCTTCATGCGGGGTAGTGTCCTGGAGAGCTTTATTCTCCTTGACCGCATGGTAAGTTGACTTCAGCCTGACCATCTCTATTGCGTTTAGCAGCTTTGTTGTGTCCACTCTCTAGATGACTTGATGAATCAGCAGCAGGATTACGACATTGACGTGTCCGATGAGACAATAGCAGGTCGAACGATCGGCGGTTCCTATCAGCCATTTTTCAAACCTTCTTACTTTGGCAAAGGAGAGATGGGTACGTTCAGACAGCTTGTGTTAGGTGTGTGGCTGTGTGTGTGACTGTGTGACTGTGTGGGTGGGTGTGGTTGCATGTGAGATATGTGACTGTGTGTGTATGACTATGTGTGTGATTGTTACTGTTGCCTGGGTGTGTGACTATGTGTGTGACTATGTGTACGACTGTTGCTATGTGGCTGGGTGTGTGACTCTGTGGTTGGGTGTGTGACTGTGTGTTACTGTACGTGTGATTGTGTGGTAGGTGTGTGACTGTGTGACTATGTGGTTGGATGTGTGTCTATGCGACTGTGTGATTGTGTGCGTGATTGTGTTACCATGTGTTACTTATGTGTGATTGTGTGGTGGGTGTGTGACTGTATGATTCAATGCGACTCTGTATATTGGTTCTGTGACTGGGTGTGACTCTGTGGTTGGGTGTGTGACTGTGTGACTGTGCGTGTGACTGTTTGGTTGGGTGTGTGGCTGTGTGTGCGGCTTTTTTGTGGCTGTGTGTGTGGCTGTATGTGTGACTGTGGTTGGGTGTGTGACTGTGTGTGACTGTGTTCCTGGATGAGTGACTGTGTTTGTGATTGTATGGTTGGTTGTGTGACCATGTGACTGAGTTTGTGACTGTGTGACTGGAAGTGTGACTGGGTGTGTGACTGTATGGTTGGGTTGTGACTGTGTGTGTGACTGTGTTTGGGTGTATGACTATGTGATTGTGTGTGTGACTGTGTTACTGTGTGCCTGGGTTTGTGACTATGATCTGTGTGTGTGCCTCTGTGACTGTCTGTGTAGCCGGGTATGTTACTGTGTGTGACTGTGTGACTGTGTGATTGGGTGGCTACGTGTGTGACTGCGTGACTGTGTATGTGACTGTTTGGTTGGGTTTGTGACTGTTTGTTTGACCATGTGATTGTATGATTGGGTGTGATACTGTGTGACTATGTGTGTGTCTGGGTGTTTGACTGTGTTTGGGTGCGTGACTGTGTGTGACTGTGAGTTTGGGTGTGTGACCGTGTGACTGGAAGTGCAATTGTGTATCGGTGTGTGAGTGTGTGTGTGAGACTGTATGGTTGGGTGTGTGACTGTGTGGTTGGGTGTGTGACTGTGTGACTGTGTGTGTGACTGTCTGGTTGGGTTTGTGACTGTGTGATTGTGATTGTGTGATTGGGTGTGTGACTGTGTGGATGGGTGTGTGTGTGTGTGGCTGGCTCTGTGACTGTGTGAGACTTTGTGGTCGGGTGTGTGACTGTGCGTGTGGCTCTGTGACTGTCTGCGTCACTGTGTGTGTGACTGTCGTTGGGTTTGTGACCGCATGATTGTGTGCGTGACAGGGTGTGTGACTGGGTGTGTGACTTCTGGTTGCGTGTTTGACTGTGTGGTTGGTGTGTGATTATGTGACTGGGTGTGTAACTGTGTGTGTGACTGTGTGGTTGGGTGTGTGACCGTGTGACTGTGTGGTTGAGTGTGACCAGACTGAGATTAACCCTGAGCCTTGTGATTTGTGGAGTCTGTGTGACAAAGGCAGGAAATTCCTCTCAACGGGATGGGCCTCCCGATCTCAATGGTCAGTGTGTGCGCAGGGACCAAGGCTCATACCCAGTCTCTTATTGTTGTGCGAGTTTATATTGCGAAGCTGGAATGACAGACCATCGTTCCCCTCCAGAATGTGGCCTGAGACCTCTGTTTGAACGCATAAACAAGAAGGATAGCGGTGAGGACGAGCTGATCGAATCGCTGAGTGGTCGGATTGTGCACGGCACGGACGCTCAGAGAGGCAGTGCTCCCTGGTAAGTGACACACAACCAACACCTCAATCACACAGCACCTCATTCTACATCACGTAGACCATGATAAACTGTTTTATCTTGGACTGAACAGTAGAACCAGAGGACACGGCCTGCGATTGATGGAGGTAAATTCAAAACAAATCTGCAGGGACACTACTTCAGTGAGAGAGTAGTAAATTTATGGAGCAGGCTCCCTAGGGAGTCGGTGGAAGCAGAGACAAATCAGATAGATTTCTGCTGGAAAATATTATCTGGGGACAATACAAACTATACAGTATATAGTTTGGGACACGACATGTCAAGTGACTACCAGGATGGTGAAGGGGAACTGAATGGACCTTGGTCTTCTTTTGCCAGCAAATTCTTATGTTCTTATGGCACTTCTCCACTTTCATCCAACATTGGTGGGACGTCACTGGTTCTTGTTCAGCTGAGACTCGCTCTCAATAGTAATAATAATAATGATAGAATACAAAATTACGTGTGTACAGCTCCTTTCACGTCGGCCCTAGACAGTCAGGGATTTGGACCCGAGCTGGGGGTTGGGATCGGGGAGGGCGGTGGGCAGAGAGGGTAGGAGGGTGGCCAAAGGCTCAGTTGAGGATGAGGATTTTAAGACGCACCTTGAAGGAGGCAAGGGAGGGAGCGAGGTGAAGGGAATGTGGGATGGTGTTCCATAGGGTGGGGGCAGAATATATAGTACCAGTGAGAGAGAACCAGTAATTTCTCACCAATGTTGGCTGGAGGTGGAGATGTTTCATAAGAACATATGAATTGTTAGACGAAAGGCCAAGGTCCGTCCAGTTTGTCTTCCACCATCCTCACTAATAAAAGTAATAATAATATTAATAATAATAATCCTTGCATTTGATATAGCGCTTTATATATATTGTTATATCTAATTCATTATATATATTGTATATAAATGTCTCAAAACGCTTCACAGAATATATTGTAAAGTGTAGTGCTTGTGTATTTTGTGGGTGAAACGCAGCAGCCAATTGAACACAGCGACAACAACAAATTACATTTGTATAGCACCAGTGTGTAACATTCGCCTTCATTTAAATGCACAGTCACTACACTTAAGAACATAAGAACATAAGAATTAGGAGCAGGAGTAGGCCATTCGGCCCCTCGAGCCTGACCCGCCATTCGATAAGATCATGGCTGATCTTCTGACCTAACTCTAATTGGCTGCCCTATCCCCATATCCTCTAATCCCTCTATTTTTTAAAAATTCTATCAGTCTCTTCATAAGGGAAAATTCTGTGAAGTGCTTTGAGACATTCTGGATATTCAAGTTATTCCATATTCAATGAGAGTTGGGCAGGTGAACAAAGAACATAAGAATTTGCTGGCGAAAGAAGACCAAGTTCCATCCAGGCAGTTGCTTGAAAATGTGTCCCAAACTATATACTGTATCCCAAGATAAATGGAAGGATGATGATTATTTAAACAAATGAATCTGACCAGTAATCCCACCTCCATGTGTTAACAGTGAGAAAAAAACACAGTGTCTTTCAATGGGGGCTCCTAACACACTCTTTATATCTAGTTTGTATTTTCAGTCCTCACTTCTCTCCACCAATTCTCTCCACAGGCAGGTGATGCTGTTTCAGAAAAGTCCACAGATGCTTCTGTGCGGTGCAAGCCTACTGAGCAATGAGTGGGTGCTGACGGCAGCCCACTGTGTCCTGTACCCTCCCCAGTATAAGAACTACACAGTGAAAGATCTGATCGTACGTCTGGGGAAATACGAGCGAGCCGCGTAAGTGAAAGGTGGAGTCCTGTAGCTCGCCTTGCAAGCGAGAGGACCTGGGTTCGATTCCTGGGCAGGGTGAAATTTGGGTAAGTTTCCTTACTCCACACGCTTCTGTTTACCTAACAGTAAGTAGGAACCCGATTGTTAGTCAATTGGCGCATTGCTTGGCTGGGGTAATAATCACTTAAAAATAATAATAATAATCTGGTCACTCAATCCACAACTGTTTGTGGGACACTGCTGTGCGCAATTGGCTGCCTTGTGTTGCCCACAAAATATACAGTCACTAATACTTACTTTACAGTACTTTCTGTGAAGCGCTTTGAGATGTCTCGAAGACGTGATAAGGCGCTATTATCAGATGCAAGTATTCATTTGTTTAAATAATCATCATCCTTGCATTTATCTCGGGATACAGTAAATAGTTTAGGACGTGACATTCTCAAGCCGCTGCCTGGATGGAACTTGGTTTTCTTTTGCCAGCAAATTCTTACGTTCTTATGTTGAAGGCAACACAAGTGTAAACTGCCGGGTGACCTGAGGGATTAAAACTTCTTTATTATCCTTTCCAAGCTCTTCATTTGGTCCCCAATTGCCATTTTCGTTTCCTTTTCACCAAATCTTCCACCTGCCTTAATTCTCTGCTTTTCCCTCCACCGTCATCAACTTCCGCTGTTGACTATTTTGCCGTGATTCAGGTACGAAAAGCTGACCGAGAAGATTGTCGCGATTGATAAAATCCTTATTCACCCATTGTACAACTGGAAGACCAACTTGGACCGTGATATTGCCTTGCTCCATTTGAAGAAGCCCATTGAGTTCACCGACTACATATCGCCGGTCTGCCTACCGTCGAGGAAAATCACCGTAAGGTCAGTGTACTGGTTTTATCCGTGCTTTTCTAACCACACCAAATGTTATTGAAACAATGGGGGCTATTCAGTGGGAATCACCTGCACCCTCAATAACAGTCACTACACTTGTCGGTTAGCAGTCATCGCTGTAAAGTGTTTTGAGACATTTTGATGTGCCGCGGTGCTCTGGAATAAAATCTGTCTTTCTTGTTGAAGCCAAATTGAGAAGGGATCATGAGCTCTCACGGTGTTCACAAAGTCCTGTTACTCCTGAGAGAGAGAAAAGTAACAGGACTTTGTGGACACCTGTACTTTACTGTGTGACAGTACGCCATCGCCTCATGCTTTTGTTCTAAAGGTTAATGAACGAAGGGCACAAAGCTCGGATCACAGGTTGGGGAAACCTGGAAGAAACATGGATCAATGGTGTAGATCATCTTCCCACCAACTTACAGCAGGTTCAGCTCCCCATCGTCAACCAAGCTGACTGCCGGGCATCCACCAAAGTCCCTGTCACCAGATTCATGTTCTGTGCCGGTGAGTGAGTCAGAGTATTTACAACAACAGGTTGCATTTATATAGCGCCCCGCATGCAGGATAGCGCGAAGGGATGAAGCGATTTGAAGATAACTGTAGGTCATTTGGGTTACAACAACGCCCTTGGGGGCTGAGATGCTCACAAAGTAACCCGGCAAATGAATATTAGAATCACGTTGACCTTCTGAGGTTATTGCTTTGGAAGAGACTTTAAATTGAGGTCCCGTCTGTTTGTTCAGGTGGTCGTTAAAGATCCCACACAAGGGAGTTCCTCCCTGTATCCTGGACACGTTAAATCACTCCTGGTTGTTTGTGGTAAATTGGCGGCCCCTTTCACCTACAAAATACTTTCTCCACAGTATATCCTGTGAAATGCTTTGAGATATCCTCCCAATAAGGATTATATTATTGTGTTAAAGGGTATGGGGAGTGAGCAGGATTATAGTAGATTAAGTTTTTTATTTGGAGAAATTAACCTCCAGATGAATGATGGGTTGAATGGCCAGTTCATGTAACCTTCTATAATCTCAATAGAAACATCACAAGTAGTGGTTGAGTGGGTGAATAGGGTACGGAGATGGGGTGGTACACGTGGATTATAACATTGTAGGTGAAACCTTAGGCAAGTTTCCTTACTCCACACACCTCTGTTTACCCGGCAGTGAGTAGGAACCCGGTCATTAGGGGGATTGGCGGATCGCTTTTCCGGTAGTTATAATCCTTCAAAATTAAAAAAAAATTTGATCACTCAATCCATGACTGTTTGTGGGACGCTGCTGTGAGTAATTGGCAGCCGTGTTTCTCCAACAAAATATGCAGTGAATTCACTTTATAGTACATTCTGTGAAGCGCTTTGAGATGCCTCAAAGACGTGACAAGGGGCTATATCAAATGCAAGGATTATTATTATTACCATTCTCCCGTGTGACTGTTTAGCTGCAGTCTGTGCACATGGCTTGCACTTTACGAACACGGACAATGTGCCCGAGGTCATGCGGTACAAAAGGAGCAAGCGTGTCCAATGCATTTCATTCACTGGGGAACAACGACCATTTGGATTTTATGTTTCTTATAGGTTACCAAGCGACTGACAGCCAGCGTGGAGATGCGTGTGTGGGAGACAGCGGGGGCCCATTGGTGATGAAGGTTACTGCACTTTATCATTCCTCTTGTTTTTCACCTTGTAAACATTTATCGGGAGATCTCGTCTGTGGGTCTTCTTGACGGGGTTGCTTAACAAGTCACGCAAATGGGGTTAAACTCCTTTCGGTAACCAGACACACTGAAATGACACGAGACCCTTACACTGACCCGTAAACTCATAGATTCTTACAGCACAGAAGGAGGCCATTCAGCCCATCATGCCTGTGCCAACTCTTTGAAAGAGTATCCAACTCGTCCCACTCCCCCGCTCTTACCCCATAGCCCTGCACATTTTTCCTTCTCAAAGTTATTATTGAATCTGCTTCCACCTCCATTTCAGGCATTCATTATTAAAAAAAATATTATTAGTTTACAATCTGTTAATATTATTCTGTTGCTGTTAAATTAGACCAGAGAAACTGACCATTGTGGGGCTTTGTGCTCCCCTCTTCCTTGTTCAGAACTATCCCGAACCATTGGGTTATAACTGGTAGCAAGGCAGTCATGATCAAGTTGAAACTCATAAACTTGGTCTGTATTCCCTTGAGGTTAGAAGGTTGAGGGGTTATCTGATTGAGGTGTTTAAAATAATAAAGGGATTCGACAGGTTAGCTACAGAGAAACTATTTCCTCTGGTTGGGGAATCCAGAACATAAGAAATAAAAGACTAAGGTCCATCTATTTGGCCTTCCACCTTCCTGGTGGGCACATACACATATGTCCCAAACTCCCTATGTACCATATCCCCTAATGTTACTTCTTAAAAGAAAACTATCTAATCTGTGTTTGAAAGAATCAACCTTTTGCTGTTCAATCGTCTCCCTAGGGAGCCTGTTCCACAGGTTCACTGAAATAGTGTTCGCGTAGATTTGTTCTGAATTTCCCCCCTTCAATTGGAGGCCGTGACCTCCTGTTTTATTATTCAGAACAAATTGAAACAGCCTGTCATGATCTATATTGTTTTGCCCCTTTAGAATCTTAAAGATAGCAAATATGTCACCTCTCAATCTTCTATTTTCTGGTGTGAACATGTCCAATTTACCGAGTCGCTCCTCATAATCCATTCCCTGAATCATTTTGGTTGCCCTCCTCTGCTCCTTCTCGATTTCTCCAATAACATTTTTGCATTGCGCTAACCGGAACTGTCTCTGAGTATAATTTTTACAGTGGCAGGATTCATAGAATCATAGAATCATAGAATGTTACGGCACAGAAGGAGGCCATTCGGCCCATCGAGTCTGTGCGGCTCTTTGACAGAGCAACTGACTTTTATTAACCCCACTCACCAGCTTTCTCCCCATAACCCTGCAAACCTGTCTTCCCCAGATACCTATCCAGTTCTCTCTTAAAAGTTGTTATCGAATCGGACTTCACTGCCCTTTCGAGCGGATCATTCCAAATTCCAACAACTCGCTGAGTGAAAAAATTTCTTCTAACCTCCCCTCCTTGTTTTGGTAGATATCTTAAGACTGTGACCACGAGTCACAGACACACCTACCAGCGGAAACAGCTTTTCCCTATCTCGCCTGTCGAAACCTTTCATGATCTTGAAGACCTCTATCAGGTCCCCGCGTAACCTTCTCTGCTGTAATGGGAAAAGTCCTAACTTTTCCAGCCTGTCCTCATAGCTAAGGTTCCCCATTCCTGGTATTATTCTTGTGAATTTCCTCTGCACCCTTTCCAGTGCCTTAATATCCTTCCTGAGGTAAGGTGCCCAGAACTGGACGCAGTACCCAAGCTGAGGCCTAACCAGTGTTTTGTATAGATTAAGCATAACCCTTACTCTTATACTCTATGCCCCTACTAATGAAGCTCAGTACACCAAATGCCTTTTTTACTGCCCTATCTACCTGCTCTGCCACCTTCAATGAATCGCTTTCTTGAACGCCCAGATCTCTCTGTACGTTCACCCCCCTTAAGATTGAGCTCCCAAGCCTATATTGCCTCCTATCATTTTTCCTACCTAAGTGTATCACCTCGCACTTGAAATCCATCTGCCACATGTCAGCCCATTCCACCATTCTGTGTATGTCTGCCTGCAGTTGGTTACAGTCCTCCTCACTATTTACTACCCGACCTAACTTGGTATCATCTGCAAACTTGGAAATAGTGCTCCCTATGCCCAAGTCCAGATCATTAATATATATTAGAAAGAGCAGTGGTCCCAATACCGATCCCTGGGGGACACCGCTGCACACCTCCTTCCATTGCGAGAAACACCCATTAACCACCATCCTCTGCATTCTGTCACTCAGTCAGTCAGTTCCTAATCCAAACGGCGACTGTCCCCTTAATACCGTGGGCCTCCAGTTTTTTATTAACCTCTTATGCGGTACTGTGTCAAAAGCCTTTTTAAAATCCATGTAAATAATGTCCACCGCATTTCCCTCATCAACCCTCGCAGTCACCTCTTCAAAAAATTCTATTAGATTTGTTAGGCAAGATTTGCCTTTAACAAATCCATGTTGGCTGTCTCTAATTACCTCGTGTTCCTCTAAGTAGAGATTTATTTTGTCCCGGATTACGGTCTCCAGTAGCTTTCCTATTACCGAAGTTAGGCTGACTGGCCTGTAATTTCCGGGCTTGTCTTTCTGCCCCTTTTTGTAGAGTGGGGTAACATTAGCCACTCTCCAGTCTCTTGGCACCACTCCTGTGTCCAATGACGATTGAAATATAATGGCCAAAGCCTCCGCTATTTGAACCCGTATCTCCCACAGCAACCTTGGGTGAAACCCATCTGGTCCTGGTGACTTATCAATTTTGAGCCCAGTCAATCTTTTCAGAACTTCCTCTATGTCTATAGTAATCTGATCTATGTATTCTACCCTCTCATCCAATACTGTGGCATTTGGGGCATCTGTTTCCGTTGTGAAGATAGGTGCAAAGTACTCATTTAGTACATCAGCATCCACAACAAGATTGCCATCATTGTCTTTGATTGGCCCCACCTTATCTTTAACTAACCTTTTTTTCTTTATGTGCTTGTAAAATATTTTAGGATTCCCCTTTATGTTACCCGCTAACCTCTTCTCATGCGATCTTTTAGCCTGTCTTATCACTCTTTTAAGATCACTCCTGCATTCTCTATAATGCGCTTTGCTATCCTCAGTGTCTTGCATCCGCCAATTGTCGTACGCCATCTTCTTCTTTTTCATCCTAGACAGAATATCCCTGGTCATCCAAGCAGGCTTGGTTCTTGCACATTTCCCTTTTGTGGGAATATATCTATTTAGACCCTGAGCTATCGTATCTTTGAAGATTTCCCATTGCTCTTGAGTCGTTTTACCTGCCATTCTTACTTGCCAGTCCCTAGGTCCCTCTTTAGCCCATCAAAATTAGCTCTTTTCCAGTCAAGCATTTTCACCCTTGACTGTACTTTGTCCCTGTTCATGAGTAATCTAAATCTAATAATATTATGGTCACTGTTACCTAGATGCTCCCCTACCGAAACTTGTTCAACCTGACCTACTTCATTCCCTAGGACAAGATCCAGCAATGCTTCCTTCCTTGTAGGACTGGAGACATACTGCTCAAGAAAATTTTCCTGTACACAGTTGATGAATCTTTCTCCTGCCTTGCCCTTAGCGCTGCTATTTTGCCAGTCTATATTGGGATAATTGAAATCCCTCATTATGACAACTCTATTCGCCCTACATCTGTCCGTGATCTGGTTGCAGATCTGCTCTTCTATCTCCTTCCCGCTATCTGGTGGTCTATAAACCCCTATCAGTGCAACCACTCCTTTCCTATTTCTGACCTCTAACCAGATCGATTGTGTTGTCGGGCCCTCTAGAGTCTCGTCCCTTTCTATAGCTACAATTGTATCCTTAACTAATATTGCCACTGCCTCCACCCTTTCTTCCTTCTCTATCCTTCCTGAACACATTATACCCTGGAATATTTATCTCCCATTCCTGTCCTGGCTTGAGCCATGTCTCAGTTACTGCTACCACATCGTAACCCCTACGGCCAGTTGAACCTGCAGCTCATCAACATTATTCCCTAAGCTACGTGCATTTAGGTACATGCATTTGAGGAAATTGTCCACATGTACCTGCTTTATATTTGCCACTTGTCTTTTTCCTCTATTCGCTAATCTATTGTTTATCCTGGATACCCATCCCCCCTCGCAACTAGTTTAAGTTAGCCCCCCCAGCATTCGATAATCTCTTGGCCAGGAAGCTAACCCCTGCTTTGCTTAAGTGCCGCCCATCCGCAAGGTAATGATCCCACCTCCCCCAGTAGTGGTCCCAATTGTCCACAAAACGGAAACCTTCTTTTCTGGACCATTTTTCCAGCCAGTCGTTCATACGCCTGATCCTTTCATTATGGTGCCCCGTTGCCTGAGGCCCTGGGAGTAACCCAGAGATCACCACCTTGGATGTTCTGGCCTTGAGTTTGTTCCCCAACTTTTGATACTCGCCCTGGAGTATCTCAATCCTCTTCTTCCCAATATCGTGGGTCCCCACATGGATCACGACTTCTGGACATTTTCCTTCCCCCGAAGAACTTGTCCACACGCTGGGTAAAGTCCACTACCCTCGCACCAGGAAGGCAGCAAACCATCCTAGCCTCACGATTCTTATGACAGAAGATCCTGTCAGTGCCTCGCACTGTTGAATCCCCTATCAGAATAGTGTTGCCCGTGTGATCCATGCCCCTGTCCTGTTGGACAGAATCTTCACTGCTGCCGGGAGGTTTCCACGCTCTCAATTGCTAATGCCGAGTACTGATTTGAGACCGGTACTCTGTTGGGGTGCTCTGCCTTGCACAAGCCCTCTTCTTTCCCCGTCGCACTGTCACCCAATCACTTTCAGCATGTGGCTGTGTGTTGGGCTCCTCTGGGAGTGGTCCTGTTCCTGAACTCTGACCTCCCAATGGCTCCAGTACCCCTCTCTCATGGTTCCTATACAGTGATGGGCTGCTATCACTGAGTCCTAGGGGAGTGAGGGTCTCCTCCACCATACTGTCCAGGAACCTCTCACTGTCCCTGATGGAGCGCAGTGTTTGCACCTGGGCTTCCAGCTCAGCAACTCTCAGCTGAAGCTCCCTGATTTCCAGACACTTGTGGCACATGAAGTCGCCCGGGCTTAAGGCGCCCTCCATCGACTCCCACATGTGACAGACCTCGCAGTTTATCTACCACACCATCTTCACAATCTTTATATAGATACAAAGATATATAGCCTGCCCCCACTTCCTCCTCTGCACCTAATTCCCACTCTCACCAAATTCCCTCACACTCTGGCCTCATCTCACTCCGGACGTAGCTCACTATGGGCTCTCGGCCCACTATTTTGGCTTGCTATTGATCTTTTGATACATCCCAACATCTGGTTTGTTTTACTCCCTGACAGAGCATTAACCATTAACCATTCCCCAATCCACTTTAATATGCTCCCCCCAATTCCATGGGCCCTTATCTTTTGGACTAACCTTTTATGCGGCACCTTATCGAATGCCTTCTGGAAGTCCGAATAGACCACATCCACTGATTCACCCTTATCTAGTTTACTGGAAATGTCCTCAAAATACTCTATGAGATTTGTCAAACATGATTTCCCTTTTGTAAAGCCGTGTTGACTGGGCCTAATTATATTGTGAAATATAATTGTTGGGAGAGCTTCAATTTATTGTCAATCAGGACCCCCCCCAGATCCTTTTCATTTCCCATATGTATTATTTTCCTTCCGTCCAATAGTAGTCCCTTCCATGTCCCCATGTGAAGTACTTAACATTTCTCCACATTGAATTTTATCTGCCACCGATCTGCCCAGTTCCCAAGTAAGTTCAAATCCTCCTGTAACCTATCTTGTTCAGCTTCACTTTCATCCTTCGTTAGCTTGGTATCATCTGCAAAATTAGCCACTGTGCTTGTGACTCCCAATTCCAGATCATTTATAAAAATATTAAACAAAAGAGTTCCCAAAACAGACCCTTGTGGAACTCCACTGGTAACATTCTTCCAGTCTGATGACATTCCCTGTACCACCACCTTCTGGGTTCTTCTGGTCAACTATTGTAATATACCTCCACTGATTCCTGCTTTCAATTTTCAATCAATTTTACCCACAATGGACGTCAAACTTATTGGTCTGTAGTTTTCTGGGTCACTTTTATTACCTTTCTTAAAAATAAAAGTAACATCTGCCTTTCTCCAGTCCCCCGGCACCTCTCCAGTATTCGGTGATTTTTAAAAGATTTGTGTTCGGGTTTCTGCGACTTCCTCTCTTAGTTCCTTAAGAATCCTCAGTTGTGAGTTATTCAGCCCCTGAGATTTATTTACCTTAAGTTTGCGCAGCTGTTTGGCAACCCTGCTGGTAATTATATGAATCGTATCACAACTTTTCTCTGCAACATTTTTGAGTTCTCTTTCCATGGATTACCCATCTCCTCCATGGTAAAGACTGATGTAAAAAAATATTTAGCACTATTGCAGCCTGTGCATTATTCTCCCAAACCCACCTTCAGTGGCTCTATTCCATTGCTTGTTTTTCTTTTGCTCTTAATGTAACTAAAAAATGTTTTGGAATTATCCTTCACATCTCTTGCCAAGGGGCACAATCTTAAAATCAGAGCTAAGCAAATTAGGAGTGAAATTAGGAGACAGTTTTTGACTCAAAGGGAAGTGGAAATCTGGATACCTCCCCGAGAATGCTGTGGCTGTTGGATCCATTCACATTTTTAAAACTGAGGTGGATAGATATTTGTTAGGGAAGGGTATCAAGGGATATGGGGCAAAGGCAGGTCTTCAAATCCCTCCAATCCACTGCACCCCCCCTAACCTCTCTGACCTCCTCTCTCCTCAGAACAGTACCTGTTGGCTTTGCTTCACCGGGTTTGGCTTCCTCCTTGTCCCCCAAATCCTCCGCTCCACAATTGGTGGCAGTGCCTTCAGCCACTGCACCCCGAGGCTCTGGAACTCCCTTCCTCACTCCCTTCCCCTCGCCACCTCTCTTTCTATTTTCAGGTCTCGGCTGAATACCTTTCTTTTCGATCGCGCCTTTGGTCACTTTCCCCCTTTCCCCCCGGCTCGGCCCCGGGATCCATTACTGTGAAGCTCTGAGACGCCGTCCGGCGTGGAGGGCGCTATATAAATCCAAGTTGTTGTTGTTGTTGTAGTAGGTACAGATCAGCCATAATCTAATAGAATGCCGGAACAAGCTCGAGCAGTTGAATGGCCTTCCCCTGTTCCTATATTCCAAGGAAACTCATGCATTGCCCAAGTAAAAAAAATATATATTTTAACCTGATGGGACCCACAGCCCCTGCACTGTAACAATCCAGACTGAACTTTCTTCTAACAGAACCCAGAGGACAATCGCTGGTACCAGATGGGGATCGTCTCCTGGGGAGAAGGGTGTGATAAGGACGGCAAGTTCGGCTTTTACACCTTCACCTTCAAGGTGAAAATGTGGATCAAAAAAGTCATGGAGCTATTCAAGAGGCGACGTGGCTGAGGTGTTGATTCACAGTGCGGGTGTGTGGTGGGGAGTAAATAGGTGTCAGGCTTTCTCTGATTCTCAGATTCAAAATTAAACAGGGGTCACAATCAAGCGAACGTTAGTCATTTCAGTTCGGGAACAATGTTTGCATTCTTAAAAAAATGTTTAAGGAAATAAAACACAATTCTGTCAATGAGGTTGAATAATCTATTTTTCTTCCTTCTCTTCACCTTTCTTCAATTTAAACAAAAACCTCTCATCTCCCCCAGTGCATGGACTCACACACACACACACACACACACAGAGAGAGCATAGCCTGATAAACTTCAGGAGGCCAAAAAGGCTTTTTAAAAAAAAACGCAATTCAATTCTATCAGTTTAATATGACTTATGCAAAGTTTTGAGTTATGTCAAACTTGCCTAGAATACAAACACATGAACAGGACTTGGGCAGATATATGACTTAGGTGCTTATATGATTTATACAGATCAGACTTGTGTGAGTTTTACTATACTCCTGTGCACTACCCAGCAAAACTCAGGTGTAAAGGTGCCTGTGTGGTTACGGAGGACATCACATGAGTAACTAGCACCACTGGTCAACTCCGCATGTGCTCTGAGGTTCCATTAGCTATTGCGATGGAGGCAATTGGGATTCTGTCACAGTAGACAAACGAATCCCAAGGCATTGTGATTAGTGCAAGCGAGAGGATCTGAGATCGATTCCCGGGTAGTGCGAAACCTTAGACAGGTTTCCTTACTCCACACGCCTCGGTTTACCTTGGAATCCGATTGTTAGTTGATTGTCAGATCGCTTTCCGGGGAGAACATTCCCTTCAAAATGAATGTAAAATGTGGTCACTCATCCATGGTGACACTGCTGTGCGCAATTGGTTGTTTTGTTTCGCCAATTGCATTTCGCCCACAAAATATACGGACACTACACTTTACAGTATATCCTGTGAAGCGCTTTGAGATGTCTCAACAATGTAATAAGGCGCTATATCAAGCGAGGATGATTATTATGCAAGGATTATTATTATTACTCGTGTGTTTATTGAGGACTTGAGAATCTGGCGCCTCTGATTAATGTTGCTCTGAAGTTGGTATTGACTGTTGCGGTCGAGGTAGTTGGGATTCTGTCACAGGTGGTGTGTGGTTGGGGGGGTGGGGGGGGGATGATAGAAATCTCAGCAATTCCTTCCTCGCTCCTATGGGTTAATGGTACGGGAGGTTTTGAGGCAGCCCCCACCCCAAGTGGGTCACTGAGCAGAGCCACAACCCCTCTGAAAGCGCCCAGTGACCTTGGACTAGAAGGTTCACTGGGAGTGTTGAGAGCACAAGAGAGGCAAAGCAAAAAAAGTTACACCACTCACAAGCCTTCAAATTGTAGATCAATTTAATGGGAAGTCAAAAATTAAACTCCGAAGAGAACATTTAAGCCGAGACGGACAAATACATTCAAACCAAATAATTCCGCCCCTTACCCCAATCCTAATGAGATTACGCAGATTAAGTGTTCTGCAATGGACGGCACACTTACCAGCCCTTCCCCCTTTCTCTATTCCCTACGTTCTCCTTCTCTTCTCCCCCCACCCAAAAAAGCAGGACGAGGAAGGCTTGGAAAAGCCCAATGGAGCTTATATTAGTCTGGTCGATTAATACAAATATTCACAGTAGTAATCATAAGTCACATTAGTAATGCTTCCATCAGTTATATCCTTCTGGCATTAGCCCCTCCTCCCCCCTTTATCCCATATTGCAATCGGGAAAGGAACTGGTTCTGGTTCAGTTAGTAAAACATTGTTGACCTCAGCCTGATTAGCTTCAGTCCCAGAAAGCAAGGCATCAACAGCTTGTGCATTAAAACTTAAGACTAGTCAGAAGCGGCATCCTGTTTTAAAAGAAAAAAAGTGCTGAAAGGCGTTTTAGTCAAATACAAGGAGAACGAACAATCCTAAAAGGCTGTTGGTTGCAGTGGCATTGGAGGTATATTGTTTTCAGTTGAGATTTGTGTGGCCAACGTTGCCTCCAATTGATCGGACGATCTATTTGTCGTGAGACGTAGCCTTTCCAATGGGAAAGGAGGGTGTGATAATCACCCCACAGAGCAGTGTCCCAGCAGCCTGAGTGTGGACGGTGTGTGCTGGTGACGACAGAGTAGGGATGGGCCCTTGCCGCGCTGGCTGTCTAAAACATCCATTTGGAGGGTTTTATTTACATTCCATCAGCGCCAAAAATAAAATAACAATTTAAACAAAACTAATTTCTCCCTGGATTTGTCGAGATTTCACGTTAAAGGGATTATGCTATGGTTGTTCACGGTTAATTGGAGATTATGTTGCATTCAGACTTGAAGGGTTGTGATAGTGGATTTCAGGCTTCATCTCATCACAGGTTGGATCTCCCAGAGGAGCCAGCTAACGGGCCTTTGGGGGAGTCACTGTAAGCGTGGATCATCTGCTGTAAAGAGAGCAAGTCATTTACAACCTTAGTTGCTACACAGAATAGATATACAGTCAGCTCACTTTACAGTATATCCTGTGAAGCACCTTGAGACGTTTCGAAGACATGATAACGCGCTATATCAAATGCAAAGATTATTATTATTGTTGTTAGAGACCAGCATCAAGGCTCGACACACAATCGCCACCAGAATGGACCTCACCAAAACAAAGATTTAGACATTCAAACAACTTGTACTTAGGGTCTCACCCTCCTACGCCCACCCTTCTTGCCCTCCACCCCTTCCCGACACCAACCCCCAGCTTGGGTCCGAATCTCTGACTGTCCAGTGCCTTGGAACATCCTCCCGACGTGAACGGCACTGTGTAAATGTCATTTGTTGTTATTTTTGTTGTCGTTCATGTAGGATGCATGAGCCGATGGGAGAAAATGTACTCTACTGTGCACAAGGAAGGAAAAAGAGAGTATGTGTGTGTGTGTGTGTGTTCACTCAGCAGTGGCTTAGCAGCTGAATGCTCAGTGGTGGGGTAGAGGGAGTGAGCAGGAGGACAGAGTTGGAGGGGTGGAGGCCATGAGTAGGACAATGAGGCTATTGAGGTCGGGGGAGCCCGATTACAAGGAGTTGGTGAAACCGCGGTTTTATTGGAAAGTTTCTACAACAAAAGAAATTTGCTGTTTGGCTCGTTTTAAACCCCAGCAATGGATCCCACTCTCCCACAAGTAAGGGAATAAACAGACTCCCAGGGGCCCAATTAAAGGCATGAGATTTGGTAGAAGAATATGTACATTAGTTCAGAGGTAGAGTAAAGGATCATAGCACTTACCCTGGCGTCTTTAGAGTTGTACATATCCAGCAAAGAACGAACGGTCGCCCCGTACTCAGGGTGAACAGAACTGAAGAGCTTCACCTGAAAGAACAGCTTCAGTCAGCAACAGGACATTGGCCCCACATTGGCCCCCATAATGGAATTCCCAACCTCACACCGGCCTTCCCAATCACCGGCCTTCCCAATCACAACCCCTCATAAGAACAACCTCCATGTATTTTTACCTTCAAGTCACATGTTGTGACTTTGAGCTCACAGCCTAGACTGAGGGCAGGGCAGAGCAGTTGCACTGTCAGAGGTGCAGTCTTTCTCATGAGGTGTTACACTGATGTCATGTCCCAACTGGACATGCTAACCTGCTTCACTTCTAGAGTTGTTTGTGCTATTACCTCCTGCAGAGATTATTCACTCTTGGACACTACCCTACCTGAGGGGCGCTATATCAATGCAAGCTGTTGTTGCTGCTGCAGAGACCAGAACTATATGTTTAAGGGCTGCCTGTGTGATGGCTTTAGGAACATAGGAATTTGGGAACAGGAGTAGGCCATTCAGCCCCTGGAACCTGTTCCACCATTATATGAAATCATTGCAGCTCTTTGCCCCACATCCCCTGATACCCTTCCCTAACAAACCTACCTATCTCAGTCTTGAAAATTTGAATGGGAAACTGGGGATTTTTGTTCAGGTAAAGGTTCTAACTCACCATTCGGTTCTGGATGAAAATCTGAGCATCCTTCAGGTGATTCGCGATGTTCTCGCACAATCGTTGGCGCTCGGAGGGGCCCAGCACCTTTGTATAAAACGTGGTCACCTGCAGTGCGGAAAAAAGGTCTCAGAATAATTAGTCCTCTTTGTACAGGAGCAATAAACACACTGAGGAACACAGGGAGGCCACAATGGGGGTGAATTGTAACAGGACAGGTGGTAGCACTCTCACCTCTTGAGGTCAGAAGTCCGTGAGTTCAAATGTCCGGTTGGGGCTTGACCTCACACTCTCTAGGCTGGCACACCGGTTGCAGTGTTGGGGAGTGCTGCAACTCCCCAACCTCGGCCTACTACCCTCTCTGTCCACCTCTTAATCGTGTGGTAATTAAAGACCGCACAACATAATTAATAAAGAGAAGGCTGTTTTCTCACCCCCTGACAACCCCCCAGGCAATTTGTCTGTTGCTGAGACTTTGTATGAGTAAATTGCCTCTGTGTTTGACTATAAAAAACAGTTACTAGACACGAGCAGTGACGGGGGGCCCACAGCCCACATAGTGGATGACCTCACACTTCCCCACATTGAATTCCATCTGCCATAGTTTTGCCCACTCACTTAATCTGTCTAAATCCCTTTGTATCTTCCTGCTTTCATCTGCACAATTTAGTGTACCTCTTTGACTTTATGTCATCTGCAAATTTAGCTATAAAACTCTCTATTACTTCATCCAAATCATTCATGTATATGGCGAAAAGCTGAGGCCCTAGTAGACCCCTGGGGAACACCACTTGTCACTTCCCGCCAATCAGAGAATGTCCCCTATCCCTACTCTCTGTTTCCTGCCTCCCAACCAATTATCAAGCCAGGTCACAAGGTTACCTCCTATTCCCACGCTTTTATTTTTGATAACAACCTCTTGTGCAGAACCTTATCAAACGCCTTCTGGAAGTTCATGTAGACAACATCCATGGCACTCTCTTATCCACCATGTTAGGGACTGCCTCAAAAAATTCAATTAGATTCGTCAGACATGATTTACCCTTTAGAAATCCATGCTGACTCTTTGATTAGCTCATATTTGTTAAGTGCTCAGTCACTCTGTCCCTGATGAGAAATTCCAGTAACTTCCTCACAACTGAAGTGAAGTTGCCAGGTCTGTAGTTGCCTGGTTTCTCCCTCCCTCGCTCCCTACTTAAGTAATGGAGTGACATTTGTAATGCTCCAATTCCAGGGCACAATTCCTGAATATAAAGCGCTTTGGAAAATTATGACTAACGCATCTGCAATTTCCTCTCCTACTTCTTTTAATACCCTGGGGTGGAATCTATCAGATCCTGGAGATTTGTCTGTCTTTAGTCCCATTATTTTCCCTGTTACCATTTTTTAAATTTGTATTAAATCCACTTAGCACTTCACTTTGGCTTATTTTTAAGATCCCTGTACCACTCGTATTTCGTCTTCTTCCTCTACTGCGAAAACGGAAGCAAGGTATTCATTCAACAAGCCTGCTTCCTTATTGTCCATAATAGTCTCACCTACATCTGTCTTTAATGGGCCCACATTTCCCTTTACCATCTTCCTCCAATATATTTATAAAACTTTTACAGCTGGCCTTGATATCCCTTGCAGATTTTTTTCTTTCATATTCCCTTTTTGCACCTCTTATTACTTTCTTTGTATCTTTGTTGTTTTTGTTTATAAGTGTCCCAGTCCACTGAGTTTCCAGTGGGACATTGCTGTGCGCAATTGGCTGCCGCGTTCGCCCACAAATATAGTCAATTCACTTTACAGTGTGTTCTGTGAAGCGCTTTGGGACGTCCTCCCGACGTGAAAAGCGCTATATCAATGCAAGGAATTAAATTAAATTAAAATTAAATTTCCACTTTTCCTTGCATTTGTGTAGCCTTTTCTTTTAGTTTGATGCTGCCTCTTACTCATTTATCGACCATGGTTGTTGAACTACACAAGAGGAGCTTTCGTGTTTTAGAGGTATATTTTGGTTTAGTATTGCACCAAATTCTTTGAAGACTTCCCACTATATGTCCATGTAAACACATTAACAGTTTACTGAGGTTAATTTATTTCTCATCCCTTCGAAGTTTGCCTTGAGTCTTGGTTTGCGACTCTCCCTTCTCGCTCTCAAACCTTATATCAAATTCAATCATGTTACGGTCACTATTTGTAAGATGTTCCCTTCCTGTCATATTGTTAACTAATTCTGGTTCATTGCTCATCACCAAATCTAGTACGGTATGTTCCCTTGTCTAAAACATATTGTCTTACATGAAAATTGGCCTAAATAGATTCTAGAAATTTGATGCCTTGCTACTTGAGCTATTCTGATTTTCCCAGTCTATGTGAAAATGAAAATCGCCCATTACAACCACATTGCTTCTGCTACATGCTTCCCTGATCTTTGTATTATATATACCCCCCCACTACATCACTACTATCTGGAGGTCTGTAGACAATTCTCACCAGTCTTGCTTCCTTTGCTGTTCCTTAATTCTACCCATATTGTCTCCACGACCTGACTCTTACTGAGATTCTTTTTTTTAATCAATATTGCTCCTCCTCCTTTCCCAATTTCCTTATCCTTCTAAAGAATACTTAGCTCCCAGTCATGCCCAGCTTGTAGCCAAATCGCTCATGGCTACTACATCACAATCTTTAAGATGAATTTGTATTTCTAAATCACTTGTTTTATTTCTCATGCTACGTGCATTTGTGTACAGATTACTTATTTCGGTAACTGACCTCACCCTGCCCATACGCCGACAGCATTTGTCTTATACTTTTTGTGTTTACTTCCTATAACCCTTTTTCTTCTCTGAGTACTTTGTTTTCTTGAATCCCCTGAAACTACGTTTATTTTCTGTTCCTCCCCTCCCTTGGACTGCTTCCTGTTCCACGGTGCCTTGGTTTGCATTCTGGCCATCCTCCCCACAGTCTTCTTCCTTATCCTCACGAGGAACAAGGTCAGGACTGGTTCTTGCGGTTCCTCCTTCTCTGCCTTCACAAGGTTGCCCTACCCTGCTATCGGTCAGTTACACACTCCTCTTCCTGTCCTGTCTCACTCTATGTGATATGACTGTGTTCAGTAGTAAATATCGAGATATTCCTCCCGCTCCCTTATGTGTCGGAGTGTCTCTAACGCACACTTTAGCTCAAAGACTCTGAGCCAGAGTGACTCAAGACATAGGTATTTCCCACAGATGTGATCACCCGGGACAGTCTCACTGTTCATAAACTCCCACATTCTACAGTCTCAACACACTGCCTGTACTGCCATTTTCTACTCTTTATTTAATTTGTTTTTTTAACATAAGCACCTCCTTCCTCCTCTGTACCGAATTCCCACTCTCACCAAATTCCTGTTGTAGATGCCTCACTTTGTTCCAGCTTTGCAGTGAATTTCCCGTGCCACGGCTTTGATGACTTAATGTTTGCCGGTGAAGTTTGGCACCGATCAGGAAGAGGATCGCGGACAGGCAGTGGGTGACCGGGAAGGGACACTGGTACAATTCCGAGTTGCACGCCACTTACCTGAGAGAAATTGTCTTCGTTGGCGCTGTTGTAGCGCGAGATGTCACCGACGACAGCCAGGCAGTGCTCTCTGGTCAAAGGCTGAACTTCAGGGGCACTGAAACTGTTTGGGTAATAGTTTGGGGCTCCTCCTGGAAAAGAGACGAGCGTGAGTGAGGAGTATCGGAGCTGCTTTGGAAGGTGGGCCAGGCCAGACTGAAGCTCACCAGCACCTGGTGGGGCGCGGAGTGCGGTAGAGGCTCACAGCCATGATTAACTATCTCAAGGAGAGGTGCCACCCACAGTCCCAATCACCTCCCTACAGTGAAGCGCTTGGAGACATCTCAACAACATATCAACATTTCGCCCACAAAATATACAGTCAATTCACTTTCAGTACATTTTTTTTAAGTGCTTTGAAAGTATCAAATGCAAGGATTATTACAAAGCAGACAGGGGTAGATTGTATGCCACTCCCCACACTATTTAACTGCAAGTTAATATTCATTAAGACATCCAATAAGCTTGGCTATCTTAGAACTGTGTCCTCAATACAACATCCAAAGACAATGCCAACTGCTATATTTGGCCATCATCCCCCTTCCATCCTCCTTTGGCCCCCTAGCCCACCTGAGCCCAATCCCCTGCCTACGTGAAAGGCGCCATATAAATGCAATTTGTTGTTGTTGTTCCCCACCATATATGGGTTCAGGTTTTCTGTTTAACGCACTGTCCAATTGGCCTAATTGAGGATTGTGTTGTAACTGGGAAATGTCTCTTCTGGGTTAACAGGCCCTGGACTGATTCACTGTGTGATGGGTAAGCTGATGAAACTCGATTTATTTTCCTCTCAGCACAAAGTGAACTTTACACAAATGTTCTACCCTGTTGTTGAGACCTTGTCCTTTAGACTCTGGGAACCCAGCCAGAGAGAGACAGAGATATGATTACAAAAGATTAAGCCAAAGCCTGATAGTTCAGACACACTATTTACATGTTGTTCAAACCCTCCCTCCCTCTCTCCCACAATGCACACTTCAAACAATCTAGAAATGTCCATGGCATAAAGACTTTTTTATCCCTGTAATAATAATAAAAATAATCTTTGCATTTGATATGGCGCCCCATCATATTGTTGAGACGTCTCAATTCACTTCACAGAATAATGAAGCGAATTGATTGTATATTTTTCAGCCAAATATCTCTCAACAACTTCTTTACTCTGTACATTTCAACCAGCAGAAAGCACTGAAAACTATCCATTAATGATGACCACTGACCACCCCCCGAGCCACAGTCTGGCTGGATGTGACTGCTTTAGTTTTTAGTTGGGGACCCCAGAGTGGGCTGGAGTCTAACCAGCGATTAGCCTAACGCACACTCTGGTTTCCCCAGGTCTTGGCTCTTGCCAACTTGCGCCCAATAATCTCTGGTATTAGGAAAGCAGATGCGTCCTCCAGGGAGAGCGAGGGAGAGAGAAAGAGCGCATTCCATTCCAACAATCTATCTTTGAAATTTCCCTATGTAGGTGGGATGCATGGAATTCTCATAAGAACACAAGAATTTGCTGGCGAAAGAAGACCAAGGTCCATCTAGTTCGCTTTCCACCATCCTGACAGTGGCTTGACATGTCGTGTCCCAAACTATACACTGTATCCCCAGATATTTTCTGTCTAAGTTGTTCTTGAAACAAACAACATTGTCTTTTTCCACCGTCTCCCTAGGGAGCCTGTTGCATAATAATAATCCTTGCATTCGATATAGCACCTTATCACATCTTCGAGTTGCCTGAAAGCGCTTCACAGGATATATGTAAAGTGAATTGACTGTATATTTTGTGGGCAAAACGTTTACTACTCGATCACTGAAATAGTGTCTCCGTAGATTAGTTGTGAATTTACCCCCTTTAATCGTAGGCCATGCCCTTTGGTTCTACTGTTCAGTACAAGATAAAACAGCTTATCATGGTCTACATTATCTATTCCCTTCACAATCTTGAAGACTGTCATCATATCGCCCCTCCACCTTCTCTTCTCCAGAGTGAACAATTTTCAGTTTGGTTTGGAAACTCGTAAGCATGGTGATGGGTTTCAGTATGTTCTTCATGGGGTATCACGCTGTCCCCAGTTTGCAGCGAGGCTCTGGGACCAACTCTTACCCTGGTTGTCGGTGGAGCACATAGGCCCATCTCGCTGGTAGTTGGCCACGCGGGTCTTGAACGGGCAGTTGACGGGCAGCTGCAGGTAGTTGGTACCCAGACGGTGTCTGTGAGTATCCGGGTAGGAAAACAGGCGGCCCTGTGAAGGCAGGGAGAGCGAGAGAGAGAGAGAGGTTTCCCAGTTACAAAACAATCATCAATGAAGCCAATTGGTTGCTGTGTTAAAACATGAAGCTAACATGAGGGGGAACAACAACATCAAACTGCCTTTACAAAGCGCCTTTCAGGTCTGGAGGATGTCCCAAGGCGTTGGGACAGTTGAGGTTTGCACCTGAGCTGGGGGGGTGGGGGGGTAGATTAGGGAGGCTGGGGGAGAAGATGACCAAAAGCGCCTCCCCCACACACACACACTCTCCCCATGTTAAGAGACCCACCTGCAGCATCTTGTCAGGACTGGGCTCAATGCCCGGTGGCATGTTGCTGGGGTCGAAAGCCAGCTGTTCCACATCGGTGAAGTAGTTCAGCGGGTTCTTGTTCAGCACCAGCCTCCCCACGGGGATCAGTGGGTACTGGCCGTGGGACCACACCTTGCGGGAGGAAGAGAGGAGAATGTCACAAAGCACTTTACAGAGGGTGAAATAGGTGAGATTCCACAATTAAACAAACGAACAAAGGCTCAGAGTCATATTAAGTAGCGATTCCTTCCTTAGCCTAGCTCCGACAAGATCCACTTATACAGGGCAGGAATTCTAACGGAAGTAGAGAATAAGGAATGCAGTTGGTATGGAAATACCACAAATTAGACCCCAGTAAGTCAAGACAGAAGAAACCCCCCAGTGACTTCCCCCTCCCTTCACCCTCGTTTCCCCCTCCCCAGAGATTAGGCTGACTCATGTGCACTAGCGCGAGGTATTTGTGAGTCAGAGTGACTTGACGTTTGCAGTGTGAGGGAGGTGCAACCCAAGCTGCTGTGGTTCACGGCCAGATAAGGAGCCCTGAGAGAGAGAGAGAGAGAGAGAGAGAGCGCGCGCAGAAGCTTGGTTGCTAGCTGACCTTGGTTACATCAAAGGGATTCCACTCGTACTTTTCAGCTTCATCAAAGGTCATGATCTGGATGTAGAGGGTCCAGGAGGGGTAGGAGCCATTGGCGATCGCGTTGTACAGGTCACGGATGGAGTAGTCGGGATCTTCAGATCCGAATTTCGCTGCCTGCTCCACGGTCAGGTTTCTGATGCCCTGATCCGTCTGTGCAAAGACGCAAATCCCCACACGGTTAGCACGTGCCAGCCAGAAACCGCACATGCCAACCGGGATCCGCACACGGTTAGCACACCCTAGCCTGGATCAGCACACAGTTAGCACATGGCAGCCAGGATCAGCACACGGCAACCAGGATGAGCACACAGTTAGCAAATGGCAGTTAGGATCATCACACGGTTAGCACACGGCAGCCACGATCAGCACACGGTTAGCACACGGCAGCCAGGATCAGAACACAGTTAGCACACGGCAGTTAGGATCAACATACAGTTAGCACACCCAGCCAGGACCCACACATTATTATTTCGGCTCACACTTGCATAGGGCATTTTTGCTCCGGAAAGCGACTGGCAAAATATCAGCCAGGATTGATCACTATCTGCTGCTGATCACACCAGTGATTGCTGGATGGAGTTGCTGAGCCTGCGGACATTCAGCATCAAGGCTCACGAAAGAAGAACAGTCCACCATCCCTTTCCCCTCCCACCTCCCCTTCCCCTACCAACCCCGCCCCTACCCCCGTTCCACACCTTAAAATGGAACTTGCAGTACACGGCCTCTCTGTTAGCATTGACCAGCTTGAAGGTGTGCGAGCCGTAACCATTCATGTGGCGATATCCATCGGGAATTCCACGGTCACTGTACAGGATGCTCACCTAGGAAGAAGAGAGAACACAACACTTACGGTGTTTGCTCCTGTGGAACAATAGCCCAGATGGGGAGGGAGGAGGAGCACTGAAGCAACAACAAATTACATTTACACAGCGCCTTTCACATCGGGAGGACGTCCCAAGGCGCTGGTCATTCAGGAATTTGCACACAGCGAGGTTTAATGTGGGGCTGCTCCCATTCCATCGTCCCTCGCCAGGGAGGGAAACCTGAACAGCAAAATGCAACAACAACAACAAAATGATATAAGAACATAAGAATTAGGAGGAGTCGGCCATATAGCCCCTCGAGCCTGTGCCCTGCCATTCGATAAGATCATGGCTGATCTTCAGATCTAACTCTAGTTACCTGCCCTCTCCCCATATCCCCTAATCCCTCTGTTTTTTAAAAATTTATCAGTTTCAGCCTTGAAGATGTTCAAGGACTGACATCTACAGCCTTCTGGGGGAGTGAATTCCATAAATTCACTGCCCTCTGAGTGAAGAAATGTTTCCTCAACTCTATTCTAAAAGGCTGACCCTTAATTTTCAGACTGTGACCCCTGGTTATAGATTCTCCAACCAGTGTCTACTTTATCAGCCCTTTAAGAATCTTATACGTTTCAATAAGATTTCCCCTAATTCTTCTGTACTTTAGAGAATACAGCCCCAGTTTATTCAGCCTCTCCTCATAGGTCAGTTCCCTCATCCCAGGAACTAACCGAGTGAATCTACGCTGCACCCCCTTGAGGGCAAGTATGTCCTTTTTTAAATAAGGACCAAAACTGCACACAATACTCTCGGTGCGGTCTTACCAAGGCCCTATACAGTTGCAGCAAGACTTCCCTACTCTTGTACTCTAAACCTTTTCCAATGAACGCTAACTGCCGTTCGCCTTCCTAGTTTCTTGCTGCACCTGCAAACTAACGTTTTGAGAATGGTGTACAAGGACCTCTGAACACTAACACTATCTAATCTCTCCCCCTCTAGAAAATAATCTGTTTTTCTATTTTTTCTCCCGAGGTGAATAACTTCACACTTCCCCACATTAAATTCCATCTGCCACCTACTCGCCCACTCCCCGAGCCTATCTATATCTTGTTGCAATCTTTTTGCATCATCATCAGAGCTCACTCTCCCACCGAGTTTAGTGTCATCCGCGAATTTAGATACGTTACATTCAATGTCCTCGTCCAGATCATTGATGTAAATTGTAAATAGCTGAGGCCCGAGCACTGATCCTTGTGGACTCCACTAGTCACATCCTGCCAATTCGAGAATGACCCGTTTATCCCTACTCTGTTTTCTACCCGATAGCCACTCTTCAATCCATGTTAATATGTTCCCATTAATCCCGTGGGCCTTAACCTTGTGCAATAGCCTTTTGTGTGGCACTTTGTCAAATGCCGTTTTAAAATCTAAATATACTACATCTACTGGTTCCCCCCCATCTAACCTGCAGATACATCTTCAAAAAACTCTAAAAGATTAGTTAAGCATAACTTCCCTTTTGTAAAGCCATGTTGACTGCCTCATCTTGTTATGGTGCTCCAGGAATCCCATAACGACATCTTTAATTAAGGACTCAAGAATTCTCTCTCCCACTGAAGTCAGACTAACTGATCTATAATTTCCCCATCTTTTCTCTCCCACTGTTCTTAAATAGTGGTGTCATATTTGCAATCTTCCAATCAATAGGAACCGTTCCAGAATCCAGAGAATTTTGGAAGATCAAAGACATTTATAGAGCGCCTTTCACGTTGGGAGGTCATCCCAAAGTGCTGAACAGTCAGGTGTCGGGGCCCGATCATAGGGGAGGGGTGGTGTAGGGGTGAGGGAAGGCAGAGAGGTGGGAGGGAGACCAAAGACACGGTCAAAGAGAAGGGTCTTAGACCAGCCTTGAAGGAGGCAAGGGAGGAAGCGAGGCAAAGGGACTGTGGGATAAAGTTCCAGAGTGTGGGGGGCAGAGAGGATGGTAGGGCGGGTCGGGCGGGAGACATGGAGCAGGCCGGAGCCTACTGAACAGAGAGGGGCGGGCAGGATGGAATTTTATGCCCTCCCCAAAAGATTGCATTGTGATGAGTATCCACTGTTCGTTCTTCTTGCTTTATAAAGACAAACTGAGACGATAAGCAAAGACTAACTGACTAACATGGTATTGGCACAGACTAGCACAGCAGATACAAGCTGCCTGACTCTCTGACCTGGTGAAGTGTCTCTGGCCGAAGTGAGAAGAAGTCCCAGGTCATGTCCGCATCCTTCAGGTGTGTCTGTGGATTTCTCTTCTGGGTATGGATGAATGACGGGAACTTGGGAAGCAAAGAAAGGGGATGAGCTACATTTGCAACCTTCAGGATAATGATCTTAAACAACATTGTGAGGGAGTGTGGAGGGAGGCAAGGGAAGAGGGAAAGAGTGCTCAGTCTCAGTCAGGTCCGCATGAGCCATACTTTACCTCCTCACAGGTTAGTTAAGAGCGACAGGCTTAATAGCGAGAATAGCTGGATAGCAAGAAGCGGGTGAACAGGAAATTATAAGAAGAACTATTATAACACAAAATACCACTCGTTGGAAGAGGACCTTGAAGATGACAACATTAATGGAGAAGTACAGGAAGCAGAGAGACCTTGAGAGGCACAGACAGAGTGAGTTTTAACAAAGCAATAATAATAATAATCCTTGTATTTGATGTAGAGCCTTATCACGTCTTTGAGGCTTCTCAAAGCACTGTAAAGCGACTGTATATTTTGTAGGCAAAATGTAGCAGCCAAGTGCGCACAGGAGTGTCCCACAAAACAATTGTGGATTGAGTGACCAAACCGCTAGTTTCTTTTTTTGGAAAGGATTATTACACCGGGAAAAGTTTTCTGCTGATTGACTAAAAAAAAGGTTCCTACTTACTGCTAGGTAAATGTGGGCGAATGTGTAAAGTAAGGAAACTTGCACAACGGTTCGCCCCGGCCAGGAATCGAACCCAGATCCTCTTGCTTGCCAGGGCGAGCGTGCAAATCACTAATCTAGAGGAATACATTCATTCATTTTGGTTCCTGCAGAGCTGATGGCAATATCGTGGCCATATCCCGAGGTTACTGACCAGGAAGGCATCCCGGATGAAGAAGATTGGGGTGTTGTTACCAGTCATATCCCAGTTCCCTTCCTCGGTGTAAAACTTGACAGCGAATCCTCGCGGGTCACGGACAGTGTCAGCAGAGCCAGATTCGCCCCCTATAAGCACAAGAGCGGAGTCAGCGATAGAGCTACACCAACACTGCAGTGAGGGCGATGTCAGCAGGTAGTCTCAAACTGATTACAGAATACTCCAAACTGGTGTCATGTAGAATTCTGATACTTGTATCTCGTTAGCCTGGGTTAGCCTGGGTTAGCCTGGGTGTAACAAGTCCCAGTAATCTGACTGCACCACTCTCAAGATCTTGCAAAGCCAGCCTCATGAGGGTGTTTTTTTTATGGCGGGACGCTGGGCTCATTTAAGCAGCAGCTGCTCGAGGCTGATGGGTGAAGATTCTGGATGAGATCAAATGGGCCTTCTTCACTCAAACCTCATGATAGATATTAGAGTAAGAATTTCAGCAAGACCTAGCTCTGACCGCCACAGGCATAAGTGCCTCGTTCCTACGACACAAACACTTTTGGAAACATTTTCACATCCTAGACCAGAAGCAGACACTCACCCACGGTGGAAAACCTGACAGACACGGGCGTTCTCTTGCCCACGTGATGGAACACTTGGGCCTTGCAGTACTTTGTGATATCGTGGGTCACCTCGAAGAAGCCAAAGGCACCTGAGGGGCAAAATGGGGCACAAATTCAGTTACCGTTTGCTCAGCTCACACATTCGCTCTAGCCTCTGTACTCAGGCCAATTCCCATTTACGTCTGCTCATTAAGACGGAGCAGGGAATGCTTGGCTCTTCACTCGATATGCTGCATGATGGTACAGTGCCCTAGTGCCACCTCAATACAGGGGTCAGTTTTTTCAGTTTTTTATAGAAGTACAGAAGGAGACCATTCGGCCCATCCAAATCAACAGAGCTTTCCTAATCAATCCCACTCCCCCACTCTCTCCCCAGAGCCCTGTAAACTTGTCCCCCTTCCCAAGTTCATTGTCAACTTTGCTACACGGAGCACCAGAACGTGACGGGTTTCAAAACCTTTTGTCTTATGCCAAGAGGTTAGGGACAAAAGACGATTTACAAGATTTACAAGAACTTTGACCGAGTCAGCATTAGACGGAGGTCACTATAAACCAGCAAACCCCAAAGGCAATGATGCGTCAGTGTTCAATGTTCAACAGTAATTGCTGGTTCAAGTATTAAACGATAGTAACATTTGATTGCACGGCTACCATTACAAGCCGGACTCACTGGCTCCATATCGCACACTCACCGGCCCCTTTGGCGTGCACCACTCGCTCGGGAATCCTCTCTCGGTCGAAGTGAGCCATCTCGTCAGTGAACACCACGTCCTGGACCAGCAGTGGTCCACGAGATCCTGTCGTCATGACGTTCAATTTGTCGCCAATCGGGTGGCCCCACCGGTTGTCAGGACATCTTGACCCTGAGCAAACACCGCAAATTAGCAAGAGTACAAAGGGACCTAACCTCCACAACAACCCTCTGACTGGCACAGCGGTGTGACTACGGCTAAAATAACCTCCACCATTTTATTGAAAAATTCCTCATAATTTGCCATAATTCCTCATTGGGGGCAGGAACAGTCTGTGATCACCAGAGTTCAGCTCATTGCTTCCCTGCTCGGGCCAGCTCACTCTTTCTACACCCCAAGTGAAGGGACACGGAACAAGTAAACAGAACCTCCAGCTATCGAACCCAACTGTGGTCTCGAGTGTCTGCGTTAGGGAGGAAGTTGGTTTTCCATCCCACGCGGGTCAAATGCTTCCTTAATAAAAAGTGCAACCGCTGCCTGCACTCCCCGTCTCCAAGCCAGCCTCCTCCCTTTAGAGAGAGAGGCTTGAGGGATGAACGACAAACTGGAGAACAGGGAACAATCAATTTCAATTCAACCAAAAAGATATATATATTTTTTGACAAGACAAAAACTAATGGCAGAATTCACGCCCTCGCTCCATTAGGAACACCAGACCATTAAGAGTATAACTTTCAATGCTTTTTGATACTGGTTTATAGCAAAGTCTATACATCAACTTTCATATCAGCAAGATTCAGTCTTTAAGGCCAAACCAAAATTATAGGTACAAAAAGCAATAAGAAGGCCTCTATTCAAGAGAGTTTGGAAGATGAAAGCAAGGAGAGACACTTCAGTTGTACAGTTGTCAGATCTCCTCTCCAGGGTTGTGTCCAGCTTTGGGCACCACACCTCAGGGAAGAGAGCAGCACAAAAGATGCAGATCTTACAAGAGATAAGATTTACCAGAACATCTGGACTAAAGGGCTCCAAAGGGTGATTTCAGCGAGGTGTTAAATGACAAAGAGATTTGACAACGTAGATAGTTCGGTTGTTAGCAATCTCGCCTCCGAGTCAGAAGCCTGAGTTTATCCTCCTTCATCGCCTCTCCTCTCAGTTCAACCTTCACGGATCTGCCATTGCCTGGTTCAAACCCTACCTCTCCCACCATCTTGACTTTGTCTCCACTAACGGTTCTCCTCCAGCTCCCGCACCATCGCGCGTATCATGCCTCAGGGCTCTATCCTTGATCCCCTCCTTTTCAAAATCTACATAATTCCTCTTGGTGACATCATCCATAGACATGGGGTCAACTTCCACATGTATGCAGATGACACCCAACTCTATCTCTCCGCCTCCATCCTCGACTTCAGGACCACTGCTGTCCTGACAGATTGCCTGCAGGACATTATGTCCTGGATGAGAGTAAACTTCCTCCAGTTGAATGTCGTCAAGACCGAGACCCTCCTGATTGGCTCCCATCAGCGCCTCCATTCCTTTCCTGGATGCACTCTACACATCACAGAGCCAATACAGAACCTCGTTGTCCTGTTCGACCCTCAACTGTCCTTCATCTCCCCCATCCGTGCCATGACCCGCTCCGCCTTTCCCCACCTACACCACATTGCCCAGTTCCACCACTGACTCTCACCACAGGTCATCCAGAACTTTGTAGCCCGTGTCCTCACACGCACCAGGCTCCGCGACCCTTTTACCCCCATCCTAGCTCAACTCTACTGGCTCCCCATCATACAGTTCAAGATTTTGGTCCTTCCTTGGCATTATTCAAAAAAGAGATGGTTTCTCTCTCCCCGGTGTCCTGGCCAACAATCCCTCAAATAAAACTGGTCACACACTCCATGTTTGTGGGACACTGCTGTGCTCAAAGGTAGTTGCTAAGTTTCACCCTCAAAATACACAAAGTCATACCATTGCACAGTAAATCCTGTAACAGGTTTTGCGTCGCTTATACCTCATGATATTAGTATTATATAAAAAACTATTATTGTTATTATTAAAAAATACAAGATTATTATTGAGATAATCTCTGGGGGAAAGAGGTCAGGAGTGTGTGGTTTTGAAATTATCCACAAAGCTGTTGCGAGAGTCTTGAATTCTATTGCATCATAAACCGTGATATCACAACCGGAGAGTTTTAAATAACGGAATCTAAGCTTCATTTAAAATTAAACTGAAAAAAAAACGTATAAACTCGGAACGGATTAAAAACATGACAGAGTCTCTCTCTCCCCACAGTTGTTTCTTAAACACTGGCTCTTTTTCAAAAGGTTTCACACACTCCTGGCCGGGAGCCAGATACCCTACGGTCATCAGCCGACAGGGCAAGGCACCAACACTCAACTTCTAAATGCCTCAAATCAGGAAAAAAAACAAAAAATTGAATTTCACATCACACTGGGTTTGGTTGTCTACATGACACACTACAATTGGGGCATAAAGTAGTAGTCATAATAATAACAACAATAATCCTTGCATTTGATATAATAATAATAATCCTTGCATTTGATATAGCGCTTTTCACGTCGGGAGGACGTCCCAAAGCGCTTCACAGAACACACTGTAAAGTGAATCGACTGTATATTTGTGGGCGAACGCGGCAGCCAATTGCGCACAGCAATGTCCCACAAACAGTCGTAGATTGAAAATGACCAATTTATTATTGTTTTGTTTTTGGAGGGATTATTATTAGGCTCTGTGTGGAGTAAGGAAACTTGCCCAAGGTTTCGCCCTCTGCCTGGGATTGAACTCAGGTCTCTCACTTGCAAAGCGAGTGCTCTAACCACTGAGCTACAGGACTCCACATATATAGCGGCTTATCACATCTTTTAGACGTCTCAAAGCGCTTCACAGAATATACTGTAAAGTGAATTGATTGTGTACTTTGCCCTAAATAGCACAGAAACTCTCACAGCACGAGTCAGCTCAGCCCAACAACAAACCACCCAAAAGAGTTGGGTTTAAAAAAAATCTACACGACAAGCACACGAAACCTTTGACCAGCCAGTCATGTCGCAGAGCGAACACTGCAGGCGGGCGAGTGGAGCCGCTCAACCAACTCGGTTCAACAACATTGAAAGAGCCCGACTTTGTGCTTTCTTGGAACCTCCGATCCTCCGCAGGCAAATTCCTGGTTAAAGTTCATCTTCACGGTATATGTGAAAGTCTGCAGCGCCTCCCAAAACAACACTCGGGGAACCTTCAGTACTAAAGACGTTTCACTATGTCAGGTCTGAATAATAACACATATTGAATGCACTCTCTACCCTCCACATGCGCACACAGGCACACACCGCACATACACACACACAGACATACATACACAGGCACACGCAGACACACACCCACACAGACGCGCACACACACACACAGAGACACGCACACATGGACATTCACACACACACACGGACACACTCACACACACATGGACACTCACACACACACGGACACTCACACACACAGACACACACATACATGGACACACTCACACACACATGGACACACACACACACAGACACTCACACACACAGACACACACATATGGACACACACACACACACATATGGAACACTGACACACACACAGACACACACATATTAACACTCACACACACACTGACACACACACATATGGAACACTGACACACACACACACACTTATGGACACTCACACACGCGGACACTGACACACACAAACAGACACACACATTATGGACACTCACACACACACACTCACACACACACACACACTGACACTCACACACATATGGACACTCACTCACACGCGGACACATGGACGGACGGACACACACAGACACACGGTTGTGCGGAGGCCCTGAAGCCTCGGCCTCCCCTGACATTTGCCGCCGGCTCCGGAGCGCGGTTCCCCGGTGCCGGGGCTCGGCCGCTGCCCCTCACTCACTCACTCACCCCCTCGTGTATCGCTTCCTTCCATTGCTGCAGCTGCTCACTCGCCTTCTCGCGCTGCGCCGCCATCTTGTCAGCGGAGTGACTGTGTGTGTGTCCGGGGGGCGGGGCGGAGGGGGGCGGGGCGGAGGGGGGCGGGGCGGAGGGGGGCGGGGCGGAGGGGGGGCGGGGCGGAGTGGGGCGGGGCGGAGGGGGCGGGGCGGAAGGGGCGGGGCGGAGGGGGCGGGGTGGAGGGGGCGGGGCGGAGGGGGCGGGGCGGAGGGGGCGGGGCGAGATGGCAGCCACGCCCACCCCCCGCCCCCCTTTGTTACATCACGTGCGGCGTTCGTCCGCCCCGCCCCCCGCCCCGCCCCCCCTCATCAGCATTCCAAGATTGACGTTCGCACAACCTCATCCCAACACAACCTCATCCCAACCTCATCCCAACACAACCTCATCCCAACCTCATCCCAACACAACCTCATCCCAACCTCATCCCAACACAACCTCATCCCAACCTCATCCCAACACAACCTCATCCCAACACAACCTCATCCCAACACAACCTCATCCCAACACAACCTCATCCCAACCTCATCCCAACACAACCTCATCCCAACCTCATCCCAACACAACCTCATCCCAACCTCATCCCAACACAACCTCATCCCAACACAACCTCATCCCAACCTCATCCCAACACAACCTCATCCCAACACAACCTCATCCCAACCTCATCCCAACACAACCTCATCCCAACCTCATCCCAACACAACCTCATCCCAACACAACTTCATCCCAACCTCATCCCAATACAACCTCATCCCAACCTCATCCCAACACAACCTCATCCCAACCTCATCCCAACACAACCTCATCCCAACCTCATCCCAACACAACCTCATCCCAACCTACCTCTTCCCAAACCAACCTCATCCCAACCTCATACCAACCGAACCACATCCCAACCCAACTTCATCCCAACACAACCTCATCCAAACTCAACATCACCGAAACTCAACCTCATTCCAACCTCATCTCAACACAACCTCATCCTAACCGAACCTCATTCCAACCCAACCTCATCCCAATCTTATCCCAACTTCATCCCCACCTTATCCCAACCTCATCCCAACCCAACCTCATCCTAATCTTTTCCCAACCCAACCTCATCAAAACCCAACCTCATCAAAACCCAATCTCATCCCAACCTAACCTCAACCCAACCCAACCTCAACCCAACCCAACCTCAACCCAACTCAACCTCAACCCAACCCAACCTCAACCCAACTCAACCTCAACCCAACTCAACCTCAACCCACCTCAACTCAACCTACCCCAACCTAATCCAATCCAACACATTCAATCCAATCTCATCCCATGCAACTCAATACAATCTAATGCAATCATCAAACATCATTGCGGACTCCTGTTGCTTTGCAGAGAATGATTCTTTTCTTCAGTTTATTGGAAATGTTTAAACCTCAGTAGAATTAGAATCATAGAAATTTGGAGCAGAGGAGGAGGCCATGTAGCCCATAGCACGTGTGCTGACTCTCTGACAGAGCTACCCATTTTGTCTCATTCATCTGCTCTTTCCCTTCATCATAGTATCATAGAAATAAATGGATGGCACGGAAGGAGGACAATCGGCCAGTCAAGTCTGGACTGGCTCTCAGAGGCAGCTTAAACACCATCCTTCATTTACTCATCTTCTTCCCTCTTGATACTCACAATCTGCCTCTACCCCCTTACTTCGCAGTGCAATCCACATCCAACAGGTCTGAGTGAAAACAAATAGCCTAAAATCTCCTTTTGCTCTTCTAGGGACTTATAACTATGGCCCAGAGTCTTCATTAAAATATTTGTCTACTGTAATTCTCGAACTGTTTCAACTGATGTTCTTGCTAAAACCGACAGTGTTTTTTTTAATGATCTATTAATTCAGCGTTGCAAAATAGTCCAAAACCATTTTGTTTCCTGTGCTCTTTCAGAAAGTCATGCATACCCTCTCCAACTCAATTGCTTGCACAACTTATTGTGACACAAATGATATCTCAAGTGTTACTATAAATTGAGGACATTGGTCATTTCAAAATTTGAATATCTTATTTTATGAGCAATCCATCTTCCCACAGGCAGAACAGGGACTGTTAGAAGTGTTAGATTCCCTTCAAGAAAATAATAATAATAATAATAATCCTTGCATTGATATAGCGCTTTTCACGTCTTCTAGACGTCCCAAAGCGCTTCACAGAATATACTGTAAAGTGAATTGACTGTATATTTGTGGGCGAACGCGGCAGCCAATTGCGCACAGCAATGTCCCACAAACAGTCGTGGATTGAAAATGACCAATTTATTATTGTTTTTGGTTTTGGAGGGATTATTATTAGGCTCTGTGTGGAGTAAGGAAACTTGCCCAAGGTTTCACCCTCTGCCTGGGATTGAACTCAGGTCTCTCAGGTCTCTTGCAAAGCGAGTGCTCTAACCACTGAGCTACAGGACTCCACAAATAAGATCAATTAACTAGGAAAGGGGATCAGGAGGTTGAAAGCAGGAAACAGGAAGAACTGACTAAAGGGTTTTGGGTTGGATTATTTGATTTGCCACTTGTGAGTTGAGAACAAAATAAATAAAAGATTTTGAGGTAAGGGGAAAAAAATAGAGAGAGACAGGGGACTAATATGAGGCTAGGTCTGAGATGAGACGAGGAAAGGATAGGCAAAAGGATAGACATTTCCCTGTTTAGGGAAACCTCTGGGTTAATTTTTTTTGCCTAATGGGGAGTGGGAACGAGAGAGACAATAGGGGTGGCAGTGTGGAAGAAGGAGAAATAGTAGAAGATAAGGTGCATGAAAGCACCAGTGGATATAGAACGAGAAGTAGAAGTGAAAATGGCAGGGAAGCTGAAAGGAACGAGAGGGAGACAATTAGCAGTGAGATGAGAAATTGTGGTGGAGAAAAGAGAAGTGAAAGCAGAGGAGGGGAGGAGAAGGGGAAAGGAGAGGAAGTGGTGAGAAAAGAGAGGAGAATAGTGATAAAGCTGCTGTGAAGCAACACGGGGAAATAGCAGAGGATGAGGAGGGGATTACAGGATCTCGCATTCCGACAGCTACAGAGCCTGGTCCAAGCGGTTACGTCCAAGCTGCTCGAAAGAGTGGTGATGGACGCGCATTTGCGTGATATTTTCAATGCCCCGTGGATGGTGCACCAAAGCTATTTAGCCTTTCCAGGCCAAATCAGTCGGCATTTTCGCACATAAATTTCTTGTTCGTTTCGGGAGGTCTCAAGGAAAGAGTACAGGCGTCCAGCCGGCCTTCTTTACTGAACCCCGCCTCCTGCTGGCTAACCTGCAGGTGCGGGAAAGCCGGAGGATGGGTAAGGAGATGTGGAAATTGAACGTGAAATTAATGACCCTGGAAAATGTTGAGGAGTTGTGGAAGGAGTATCGAGGGTGGAAATCCTCGAAGGATTTCTGCGACTCCTCGACTGAATGGTGGGAAATGGTAAAGAGGTCCCGGAGTGTCGCAAATACAGCACACTTTATAATAAACACTATGAACGTTCAGGATAGCTGACTTCAGTGACATCTCACATCCATACTTACCACCTCTTCCTTGTCCCCTTCTTTTCCTGTCTCCTAGTCAGATCTATTCCCAATGCCTTTGGGGGAGCTGGCAAGACCCTCAACCAAATGTTCATACTTTCCTGCTGTTTTCTGTTTCCTGTTTCCCCGGATCACCAGTCCTCTGCATGTTTTTAGTCCCAAGGATGATGTTGGGAGTCTGGCAGAAACCTTGCCCAGTTGTCAATGCTTTTTGGGGTTCCCGCCTTGTTTTCCCTGTCACTGTCACCCCCGATCCTTCACTGTCCATGTTCTCCGTCTCCATCTCCTTATTTGGTGACAATTAAGTGAAGTAAATACAAGAATATAATTGAAATTTAAACATAATAAATCATTTGTTAATTGACATGATCGCAGAATATTACTGAATTACCTCTTTGAAACATAAAATAATAATTAAACATAACAAATCATGTGGTTCAACATAACATAAATTAATATAATTAAACTTATACTACCAGTTCAAGATGGAATGACCACTGGACGAATTCTCAGCTGAGGTTCTGTTCCTTTTAAGAGAGGTTTTCTTTGTCTGAAGAATACTCACAATCTACTCTCTCTGGGATAACGTGCTCGTCTGGAGCCCGGGTTCGAAGACAACTACCTCATGGATACCCAAATTTTTATATAGTTTTCCGAACTTGTTTTTCCCAATTCTGCGCGTACCTCCTGATTACATCCCTGACCCTTGGTCTGTATTTCTGCTCGCTTATCTTTCCTAATTCCTGTTTACTACTGTGGGGTCCATAATGTTAGTATCAGCCTCGAGGTCTTACGGATACATAGTCTCCCAATCTTCCTTTTTACCTGCTGTACTCTTTCAATGTCCAACTCCTTGTGTCAATAGTGATGACTATGACAGGTCCAGACTGACTGTATCCCGCGGTTGATGAGATTTTCTCTTTTCCCACCAACTTAGGCCCTTCCGAAGGACACACCTGCTCATTACTTCTTCTAGCGGATCTGGTAGCCCTCAACTTCTTCTGAGACTCTCTTGCGACTCTCCCTGCCTGTTCTTTCAATTTATTGTGGTCATGTCACCTACCATACTGGAAGTACTATTTTGATATACATACAGAATAATGTTTGCTTAATAGATTTCACATATATTTATATAAAAATCAAGATCACCTTCTCCCAACAATGTCTTTTGCTCTGATCGACGATCGATCGAGAGCTGCTGGGCATTTGCGACCATTCAAAACTGGCTTCGGGGACCAGGGTCAAATCGACAGAAAAGTGAGGTGATGTATTTCGGCAACTGGCGAGAACGTGAATGTTTACCGTTTGCGGTCAGGCCGAATTACACCGAAATCCTGGGCTGTCGGGACTTGCAAGAAACACTAGGACGAGCAGATAATGCGAGTGAAGAAGAAACTAGGGTGGTGGCAACAGCGCTCACTGTCAATCACTGGGAAATACAAACGCAGGTGCTTTTGTTGCTCCCTGTTCCTCCCCCTCACTTCCATCACCCTTCATTTCTGGTGGGG